AGAAAGCCCGGCGAAGCTGCGGCAGGGGAGTCCCCCTGCCCCGGGTGGCTTCACAGAGCGCCCTCCTCCACTGCCCGGCTGGTTCCACCAGAGGACAGCGACGCAGCAAGTTCCCATGGGGAAGCATCAGGCATCCACCTGGCAGTCCCGTCAGCCCCTTCGGACTTCTTGTTTCCTGACCTTAGATCCTTCCAGGGGCAGCGGCGGTGGTGGTGTTGGACTCCCACGTGGCCAACTGAAGTTCAAGTTCCAGACCTGGTGGCTTGGAAATCGCGTGTGCCTACATGCCCAAAGTCCTGAGGAGAATGGAGGAGAAGGGATTGTGGCGTGGCCGTCCCCCTGGGGGCTGACTCCTCACTTGCCCTCTCACTGTTTGTCTCTCTGGTTAGCACACGTCTTATGACAAAAACCTTAAAAACAAACACACAAAGGCAGTCATTTTTCTTCAGGAAACCGTGAAAAGGTCTGCATTGACAAGGCTAAATTCCCAGTGCCCTCTGTTCGGGCTGGACTGAGTGGCTGGTCTCAGTCCTCGTGAGAGTGTAAGACCCCTCCCGTTACCCTCAGGAAGCTTAACCACTTCAAATTTGTTTTTAATTTTATCATTATTTTTAAAATTTTGCTAGAGCGCACGTGGGCTCATCAGTGAGACAGAAAATGCAAAGCCATCAGGTCCAGGACTCAAACCCTGGGCTGGCCATGTGGGAATCCAGTGCCTCAACCATCGTGCCCATAGTGCTGCTAGCCCCTCCTTTCAGTGTGGCATGTCCCTTTCTGAACCGTGCCGTCACGGAGCTCGCAGGCGTGAATGTAAACTCGTGCAGCTACGGCTGTCACTTCTTTCATTTAAAGAGAGGCTTTTGCTGCAAGTGCCTGCACTCACCAGAGAGAGACGGCAAGCAAGAAGTCACCCCGCGGGAGGTGGCCGGCCACAGCCCTGTCTCCTCCAGTCTCCTCAGGATTGGGCTCACACGCCCAGCGTGCGTTTCAAGCTGCCAGGTGCAGGACTTGAACTGCAGCCGGCCGTCGAGTCTAGCCACATGGCCTTACGCCGTCTGTTGTTCCCAATGGCTGTGTAATTTCTGTACATCGTAAGAATCACTGTTGTTTTCTACAGCTCTTTTCCTTTTTTTAAGAGCTTTTTTCCTACAGAGTGTGTTCTCGCTGGAGAGGCAGAGACAGAAAGTGAGAAATCACCCCCGGGGGATGGCTGTGCTGCAGCCCCTTCTCCCGCATTCTCCTCTCGGAACTTTGGGCACGCACACACACGCGCCCGGTGTGAGTTTTAAGCGCCGACTACGTGGGAGTCCAGTGACGTAACCTGACACCGTTTCAGCTTGTAAGGGACTGACCAGAAGAGGGGAGTGACCTGCTTCTCTAACGGGACCGTGGTGGGGACCGCTGGGCCCTCGCAGGTGCTTGAAGCAGAGCGTTGTGGTCGCTGCGGGGCCCGGCCTGCACCGCAGCGAAACGCCGAGTGCACTTGCCAACCGCGGTGGCCCCTCCGAGCTGCGGATGTGGTACTTTTCTGACCGGAGACTTGAGCTACCTTGCATCGTTTATGAATCCCTCCCTACGTTGACCAGGATGTTGGACCTAAAAGCAAGGAGCCCTCCGTGCCCCCGGCCTGCCTGGCACAGCTGTCTGGCACGTGCGTCGCCCACTCTGCCTCGCCCAGCCTGCCTCCGCTGCGTTCTCCGAAGAGCCACGTTCACAGCTTTTGCAGTGTCCTGTCTGTCCCGTGCAAGTCCCTCCTCCAGACAGCGTCGGGGCCGGAATGCTAAAGTACTGGACGACTTCAGATACTCAGATACCTGCGCACGTCCTGAAGTGGCTCAGCGCTGGACTCCGACCTGACACCCAGCACCAGAAAGGGCGACTGGGGAGAAGGGGCTGCAACAGGACTCTCCCGGGGTGCCCTCCTCTCCCGCTCTGCTGAACACTCGTGCCCCGTCGCTCTGCGAGGGGCAGGTGAGATGGTGCTGAACATGGGCCCCAGCAGCAGGGCTGGGAGCCGAGTGCTCTGCCCTGTGGCACCAGCACAGTCGTGCCCGGGTTGTGCCCTAGCAGAGCTCAGGGAATTTCATACATGGGACTGAGACCCTGAAGAACCGTCCCAGGAGGGGCCACGAGTCTCACGTGCACCTCCAGCAGATGCCCAGCCGGGGAATGGCTGCCCCTCCACGCGGCAGCTCTCGCCGTGACCACACCTGTCTCACGGGGGTCCCCTCGTGCCATAGAGTTGTTGCTCAGCAGTTTGGGTTTTGTGGATTTAGGTTTTGGGCTGGGGCGTCTAACCTGTATTTTTCTGACTCCTGTTATTCTGACCACGTAGAGCTGGGCAGTTCGATCTGGTCCAGGCCCACCCACGGGTCCGTGGGGCTAAGCTTATGGCCCCTGTGCACCTGTGCCCGGGGTGGCCACCTGGAGGTCAGGTAGGGCAGACGGAGCGGAGAGGAGGCAGCCATCTGAGGCTGTGGACCGTGGTCTGTGTGGGACAGGCAGCAGTGCGTCCTGTGAATCACCGAGGCAGGAGGCCACGTGTTCACCACGCAGCAGAGCTGTTCTAACACGAGGCGGGGCCAGGAGCACAGCACACATCCAGGTCCCAGCTGTCCCACCGCCTGCCACCTTGGGACAGTTGTGGGCACCTCGCGCAGGGCTGGCGCCGGGGCCGGGCCCGGCTGGAGCTCCAGAGCCGAGACGGGCCCCCGCAGCCCTGCCGGTTCCGGGTCCCGGTGTGGCACTGACCGCCACGGCCGCCATCCACTCCAAGGCCTGCATCTCCCTCTCCCCAGAGCCACCACAGTGCGCCACAGAGGCCGGAACCTGCGGGTCAAGGCGCCGATGTGCCGGGCCCTGAGGAAGCTCTGCGACCCCGACGGTGCGTAGTGGTGTGGCGTGTTCTGTCCATGCCGCAGTGACAGGCGAGTGGCAGGGCCCGCCCCGGCTGCCCCATCTCCCCTGGCTCTCCCAGTGCCCTCACACACGCTGGGGTGAGCGACCCGCCTCGTCACTATGACGTGTCCCGAGTCAGGTTCAGCTCAGAGCTGTCATGGACAAGGCTCGGGTCGCTTGCTGGTGGGTGGCCCTGGCTCTGCGGGCAGGAGTCGGCAGTGGCCACATTGGCCATCCTCCCCGCGTCTCCAGCCTCGTTACCGTGCCCACGGCGGGCTGCTCTCGCCTCTCACCTCGTCTCCCTGTGCCGTGAGGTTGGGCTGCCCTGGCCATTCATGTCCCTCGCTGTCGCAGGTCTGAGTGACGAGGAAGACCAGAAGCCCGTGCGCCTGCCCCTGCGGGTCCCAGTGGAGCTACAGCCACGGAACAACCACGCCTGGGCCCGTGTGCAGAGCCTTGCCCAGAACCCACGCCTCAGGTAACACTGCCCTGCTGGGCAGAGGGATCCCAGCTCTGGGGCCAGGCTTAGGGAGGCATGTGGCTATCCCTCAGGGACCCCGTGTCCTGGCATCACGTGAGGACCAGGTGTGGCAACCTACCTGTGTCAGATCCCAGGCGCTGGGCATGCTGTGTTGTGGTCCCACACCAGACCCCGGGCAGGTCTCCCAGGCTGCGTGAGCATAAGAAGAGGGCCTCGGGGAGTGGGCTGCAGAGCCTCCGCCCACCCTCAAAGCTCTGTCTCTCCATGGCTCTCCCCTGGCTTCGGGCTGGGCCTCTGCGCGCACTCCTGCTCGCCTGCGGTGAAGCCGTGGTGTGGGGCTGCTGACTGTCCACAGCGTGTGCTCGCTCACATAGTTGTGCAGCCGCCACCTCCGGCAGGGCCCCCATCCACAGCCCTGTCTGTCCATGCGAGCTGCCTCTCCCATGGACCTGCCAGTCTAGACAGCTAACGTTGGGAGTCACGCCGGGGCCATCCATGCTGGGCTGCCTTCGTCGACCCTGGGGCTCCCCAGGCCCAGCGCCATGCCTTCAGTGCTCTGCCCCTTCTGTCTGTGCGCTTGCGCTTTCTTAGGGCTCCGTGAAGCCGGCCAGCCCCACCCCAGCCCCTGACCAGCACGGCGCAGTGGCCAGAGCTTGGGTGGTGGAGGGCGCGGGGCATCCCCTCTGGGGTGCGTGTGGCTGCATGGCCCTCGGCTGGGGGCTGCTCTGTAGAAAGCGCTGAAGGCCACGGCGCTCCTGCCCGGTGCCCCCAGGACCCCACGGCTGCTTGGTGGTGTCTGTTGGGCTCTTCACGGAGCCCCCGGCCCAGCCCTTCACCGTCTGCCGTCACCCCTAGGATGATCGTGGAGCTGCACCGCAAGGTCTCCAGCCTCATCGAGTTCCTGAAGCAGAAGTGGGCGCTCCACGAGGTGCGGATTGTATCTTTTTTCCTGAGTCAGGACCCCACGAGCTCTGCAGGGGCTGTTCCTTGGTGCAGGCTCTCCTGCAGTGGTGGGAGCAGAATGACCAGGGAAGCCTGGCCCTCACGTCCTTGGCTGGCTCCGGGCCCTGCCCACTCCCGGTGGGGACAGCGTGCAGCAGCCGAGTCACTGCAGATGCCGAATGTCCAGGCTGCGCTTAGTTCAGGCCAGAGGAAGGCACCTGGGTCCGGGCAGGGCACGAGCAGGGTCAGCAGCACCCAGGGGAGTGTGGCTGGGGAGGGCCTGAGTGTGGGCGCTGTCTGCCCAAGGTGCTGGCAGACAGCGGCCCTCGGGGGAGCCAGCAGGGGCTTTCCTTGACGTGCGCTCAGCGGAAGGCCCTGGAAGAGCAGCAGCCGCAGGACGTGCGTGCCACGCCCCCGCAGGAGAAGGCCACCCTGCACCTGTTCCCGGGCGAGAACTGCACGCTGACGCCGCTGCCAGGCGTGGCCCGCGTGGTGCACTCCAAGGCCTTCTGCACAGTGCACTGGCAGGAGGGCGGGCGCTGCCGGCAGAGTGCCAAGGACGCCTACGCGCTGCCCCCAGCCCAGATCCTGGGCATCCAGAGTGCGCAGGGCACGGCCCGGGGCCAGGTGAAGTGCCCGCGGGGCGGCCCTGAGGGCAAGGGCGGGGGGCGGCCACCTCCTGCTGCCGACAGCTCACCCAGCTCTGGAGAGAGCCCCGCCGAGGGTGCCCCCGGGGGAGGCGCTGCCCTGAGCCTGAGCAGCCCGGACACTCCTGACAGGCCTCCCCCAGGGCTCCAGGACGCCGCGCCTCGTCTGGAGAGGACCCTTGCCGCGGCTCCAGCAGAGGGCGGGGAGGGCCTCAGCCATGAGCCAGGGGCCCTGCCGCCTGCCTGCAGCCAGCCCCCCGACCTGGAGGACGAGCTCTCTCTCCTCGACCCCTTGCCCCGCTATCTGAAGTCCTGTCAGGACCTCATCGTCCCCGAGCAGTGCCACCGTGCCGCTGACACGTGGTCCGGGAGAGAGCACCCCCCTCCCAGCAGGGCGGCCTCCCCGGAGGCTCTCGGCTCTGGCAGTCAAGAGGCTTCCACCCTTGTCCCTCCTGTCCCAGACCTAAGGCCCAGCGCTGGTCCTGGGCTCCTGCCAGATGTTTGCACTAAGGACCTGGTGGATGCACCCGCTGAGGAGCCCCAGGAGGCGGGGAGCCCCTCGGCGCCCCTCCTGCCTCAGGGACAGCCTGCCTCCAGGCCCCCAAAGGAGGCCCCGCCTGGCCGGCTGGCACAGCAGCTCCGCGAGGAGGGCTGGAACCTGCAGACCTCCGAGAGCCTCACGCTGGCCGAGGTCTACCTCATGATGGGCAAGCCCAGCAAGCTGCAGCTGGAGTGGGACTGGCTGGCCGCTCTGGGTCCCGAGAGCCAGGCCCCCGGCGGGCAGGACCCACGGCCCCGGCCCGGCCCCACGCATGCCGCCTTCCACGAGCAGCGCCTGCTCAGCTGCCTCCTGAGGCTCATCTCCACCGAGGTCAACCCCAGGCCGGTAGGTGGGGACCGGGGTCCAGGGAAGAGGCTTGGTCCTGTGGCCTGCGGCCAGGGCAGCAGGGCTGTGCAGACCGCTTCTCCCTCCAGATGAGGGCCCTGGGGCTCTCGTGTAGGCCTGCTCCCTGCAAGGCCCCAGAACACTGTATCCGGCAGGATGGATATAGCCATGCTCTGCACCGGGACCTCAGGGCCCCTCCAGTCTTTGCTCCATGGGCCGGCCAGGCCCACCGGTGTGGCTGAGGGCAGAGTGGCCGGTAGTCAGCAGCCTCAGCCTGGTCCGGGGCGCTGTGGCAGGTCTGTGCATGGAGGGTGGCAGGTGAACTCAGGACTCTGGGAAGCCCCCTGGCTGTGCACAGGTGGCAGCTGTGGGGAGGGCAGGGCAAAGCGTGTTACAGGGACGTGGACTAGTGGAACCCACAGATGGCGTGGGGGCACCGCTGGCAGGACAGTCCCATCCTGCATCCCACAGTTGTCACTAGGATCTCCTGAGTGCAGGGCAGTGACGGGGGCTGGGGGGACAGTGGGCCCCAGCAGCGTACTCTCCAAGCCCAGCAAATGGGGTTGGCCAGGTGCTGTAGACGGTGCGTGGTCCAACGGGCCTGGAAAAGGGCCTGCAGGCTGCTCTGGACCGGCGGTGCTGTGGAGTTGCGAGCCACGCATGGGGTTCAGGCCGTCCTTGTGCTAGGGACACTTGAGGGACTTGATCGGGGCTCTGCCTGTGCCTCACAGCGCTCCCCGTCCTTTCCTGGTGCGGGGTGAGCGCCCCGACCCAGACTCAGACCTCGGACTTCCTGAGCATCGACTCGGGGCTGTGCGCGGGTGTTCCGTTGTGGTCAGAACGCTGCAGCAGAGACTGAAGCGTGGAATTGTGCAGAGGCAGTGAGCTGGGGCTCAGGCCAGGCCCCCCTCCCGGCGGCCTTGGTGTACACACAAGTACTCCGTGGTCTGCAATGCCCGACCACTCCCGAGTGTGTGGTCCAGGCCACTCGGCCTGGACCTGCTCTGGCTCATGTCCCCTGCGGGCCCGTGCTTCCTCCGGCCGTGGCTGCAGCAGAGTTGGGGTGAGCAAGGGGTGACCAGACAACATGTGTTCAGGGGCTTTTTCAGGTTTGGCTCTTGGGGGGGTTCATAAAAGGAGGTGGGGGAGGCCGGGACGGACCCCGAGGCAGCGGCGGCTGAGGCCAGTGCTGTGAGCAGCGCCAGCCCTGCCTGCAGACTGCAGCAGCGCACTTCTGGGGTGTGCCTCCCCGACTCCAATGCAACCGGAGTGTGGGGGCCGCTGGCCACAGGCCCAGCTGAGAGTGGAGAGCTCACTGAAGGTGGTTGCCTGGCCCTGGGGCAGGTGCTGTGGGGTCCCCCATGGGAGAGGGCCACGCTGAGAGCTAGCTCTGGGCCCACACTGCCGGGTGAGGTCACCTCAGTGGGGAGGAGGAGGCGAGTGAGAAGCTAGGTCTTCCCTGTGGGGGTGAGGGCCCCCGGGGCGAAGATGGCCGTGAGGTGCCAGGTGGGCCATGGCACCTCACGTGGACCACGGCAGCCATGGGCCTACATAGCGCCCGGAGGCGAGGGCTTCGCCTGGCAGAGGCTGAGCAGAGCAGCTGCTGCCCGTCCAGCGTCTCCCTCCCTCCCTGCCCGTCCTCAGTCCGCCACATGTGCTTGCAGTGGAGGTGGGGAAAGGGTCTGCCAGGGCACGGCGCATGGCTGTCATCACTGACCCGGTGGCCGCTTGTGCCCGGCAGCTCATGGCCCGAGTCCCCCGCCGCCGGTCAGCTCTCAGGCCTGTGCCATTTCCCGTGTAGTCAGGCTGTTGCGGCCCCTTTCTGTCTCAGGCCCCAGAAGCAAATGCCGTGTCCACAGCCTCCATGAGGCCCACCCAGGAGGAGCAGGCTACGTCCTCCCCCGGGAAGGTGGTTACGGTCAGCTCCCGGAGCCCACGCTGCCCCCGCAACCAGTCTGCCCTCCGCAGCGGCAAGACCTTCACGCCCAGCTGTGCACCTTGCTCCTCAGGTGAGGCTCGAGGCGTCCTGATGCCGTCACGCTCAGGGCACCACTGTGCCCACAGAGACCACCACCCCTTGTGGGGACAGTGATTGGGGGGCCCATTCCAGAGGGCCACGGGGCCGGGACAGCAGAGGACAGGTGGCCTTTGCCAGTCTGGTCACTTTGCAGGTCTCACTCCAGAAGGCCAGCAGAGCCTCTGTCATATGCCAAGCTGTTGCCAGCAAGGCCCTGAACCGGGCCTTCCCGAATCTGGAGTGGGTGCCGAACAGCTAAGGTGTTCGCAGGCCAGCCCCGGGGCCCGGTGGCTACGTGAGCAGATCCCACGTGGTCAAGTGCAGTTCAAATCCTGACCCTGGCGGCCTGACACATGCTGAGAGCGTGTGCATGTGGCCAAAATCCAAACGGCAGAGAGGTGGAGGAGAAGGGGTGTGGCGTGACCATGCCCCTTGGAGGGGTGCTTTCCTTCTGTCTCTCTGGCGAGGTGCACGTGGTCTCTGGCCTTTGAAAATAACAACTTTAAAGTTCAAACATTAGAATAGAGAAGGCTTGGGTGACAGGGCACACCGGCAACTTAGCGCCAGGAGGGCTGGCCGCGCTGTTCCAGGGTTCGCAGACGGGGAGGCCGCATACTGAGACGCAGGCGGGCGCAGTGCAAGCTGCCTGGCCATCAGTCTCCCTTGCCTTTTTTCTGCTCGTATGTGTACGTGGGCATTAAGACTGGCCGTCACGGCTGCATCTGTGAATTCTGCATCTTTTTTTTTTGCCGTAGGATGCATGTGCTCACTGAGAGAAACAGAAGGAAGGTGAAAAATCACCTCTGGGGATGGCCGTGCTGCAGTCCCGTCACTCTCGATTTTCGGCACACGCACGTGCAATCAATGCGATTTCTTTTTCTTTTTCTTTTTTAAAAATATTTATTTGGGGACCAGCAGTTGGCATAATGGCTATATCACTGGACTTGCATGTAGTCAACCACAGTTCGAGTCCCAGACCTGGTGACTTAAACTCAAACTCACACTGGGCGCGTGTGCGTGCATGCCCAAGATCCCAAGAGAATGGAGGAGAGGGGATTGTGGTGTGGCCATCCACACCTGGGGAGTGATATCTCGCTTTCTGTCTCTCTGTCTTTTGTCTTTTGGGGGGGGGAAAACCCCCCGAAAAAAAAAAAAAAAAAAAAAAAGAAACTATCCAATAATAATAATAATTTATTTGGGACCAGCAGATGGCTTACCGGTTATGTCACTAGACTCCACCATGACCCATCATGGTTTGAGTCTCAGACCTGGTGGCTTGAAAATCACGCCTGGCGTGTGTGCGTGTGTGCCCAAAAATCCCAGGAGGAGAAAGGAGGAGCAGAGGTTGAAGCCTAGCCATCTTCTCTGGGGGGCTGATTTCTCACTGTCCTCCTTCCTGTGTTTATCTGTCTGTGTCTCTGGTGAGTACACACACCGTGGGGCAAAACCCTGTTTAAAATATTATCGTTTTACTTATTTATGAACTTGTTCTGGTCATCAGAGAGAGAGAGAGAGAGAAATCAAATCACTAGGTCTGAGGCTTGAATTGTGGTTGGTCATGTGGGATTCAGCACCCCACCCCCATGCCACCTGCAAGTCCCACTGGTGGGATTTCTTGTTTTGTTTGGGGTTTTTTTTGGCATAGGGCACATGTGTTCACTAGAGAGACTGAGCAAGAAATCACTCCCCAGGGGTGGTGGCCACACTGCAGTCCCCTCACTCCCCAGGGGTGGTGGCCACACTGCAGTCCCTTCACTCCCCAGGGGAGGTGGCCACACTGCAGTCCCTTCTTCTCCATTCTTCTCTTGGGATTTTGCTTATGCACGCACACGCACCTGGTATTATGTCACCAGGTCCGGACTCAAACCACGGTCAATTACGTGGGAGTCCAGCAAGTAATCATTACACAATCTGCTGTTCCTACACCAGTTTTTTCTTTTTTTTTTCTTTTTTTTTTTTTGTTATAGGGCATATGCTCTCCAGAAAGACAGAGAGACAGAAAGCAAGAAATCACTCCCCAGGAGGGATGGCCACACCACAATCCCTTCTCTTCCATTCTTGTCCCCAGCATGAATTTAAGCCACCGGGTCTGGGACTCAAACCGTGGTTGACTGCATGGGAGTCCAGCAACATAGCCATTAATGCTGACTGCTGGTCCCGCACCAGTATGATTTTTAAGCCACCATGTCTAGGTCTTGAACCGTGGTTGGCCATGTAGGAGTCTGGCAACTAAACCACCATGCCACCGCTGGCTCCTCTGCATGAGTCTGAGCAGTAGACTAAGAAACTTGAGTATACTTCGTGGGTATGCCTGTGTGTGCTTTGGGCGTGTCCCCTCCGTGCTAGGACAAAGACAGTGCCCTGTGGGCGGTTAGGAGCCGGTGGGCACAAGCTGTCCTCTCCGTCTGCTCTGGGGGCCCACACCTCGGCGAGGCTGGGCGCCCCTACACACCCTGAGAAGATACGACTGGGCCTGCACCGGCCTGCAAGTCACCAGTGTCCAGCGTGGGACCAGGGCCGTGCTCTGACGGTATCCGATCTTCGGGAGTCACTGTCCTAGAGGAGGCACACCTCAGAAGGGCGAGTGCACCCAAACACTGCCCTTCGGCTGAGCGTAGGCCTGGTGCGGCAGGGCCCTGAGCCAACTTCCTGCCCCTGGCTCTATCCTGGGCTTTCTGTGTTGTGGGTGACTGGCCCGCCATGTATGGGAGACTTGCTTTCTCGAGAGGACGTTCCAGCTGCCGCCATGTGGCTCTGCCCTTCGGCATCCCCCACCTTCCGTGTCTCCTCATGTGGCTGCTAGAAATTAGAAAGGCAGTGGCCCAGGGCCAGCAGTTAGCATAATGGCTTTGTCGCTGGACTCCCATATAGTAGACCGCGGTTCACGTCCCGGAACTAGTAGCTTAAAATTCACACTGGACGCGTGTGCGTGTGTGCCCAGGATCCCCAAAAATCACCCCCCAGGGGAGATGGTCACACCACAATCCCTTCTCCTCCATTCTCCTCTCGGGATCTTGGGCACGCACGCACACGTGCCCAGTGTAAGTTTAAGCCACCGGGTCCGGGACTTGAACCATGGTCAACTACGTGGGAGTCCAGTGACATAGCCATTATGCCAACTGCTGGTCCCTAAATAATTCTTTTTAAAATAATAAAGTGAGAGATCAGACCAGGGGCTAACGTGAGGTTCCTGAGTTCAGTACCCGCGGCCTGTCCACAAGGCCCGTGTGCTAGGTCTGTTCTCAGTGGAACAGGAGTTTCTGGGACAAAGGCGGAAGCACGGGGCTGGGATACAGGGAACCTCTCCAGGCCACAGCACAGCCGTGCCGAGGCTGCTCCCAACACCTCCCCATGGGCTCCCCTCACTGCAGGGCTGTGGGGTACTGATCCGGCTTCTCCTCTCCAGGTTTGAGAAACCCTCCCGGACCCCTCTTGGTGGCCAGTCCCCCCAGCGCAGGGAGCAGCGACACTGATGGTGGCCTTTTCGCTGTCCCAACGACGTTGCCACCCAACAGCCGGCACGGGAAGCTCTTCTCTCCCAGCAAAGAGGCCGAGCTGGCTTTCCGGCAGCACCTGACCTCCATCAGCGTAAGTACCGTCCCTGCCCGCCTCCTGCCCGTGGTCCTGGCCGAGCCCCCATGCCTGTGCCGGGCACGGCCTCACGGCTGGGTGCTGCTTCCCTTCCAGATGCAGTCAGATTTCTTCTTGCCAAAGCCCAGGAAATTGAGGAACCGGCACCTGAGGAAGCCTTTGGTGGTCCAGGTCAGGGAGCCCCATCCCAGTCGGCGCGTCCCAGCCTTGAGGGCTTTGCCACTCAGGCTCCCCCACCTGGCCCCGGGACACGTCGCGATCCTTGCGTGTCTCAGGATTGCATGGCGTGAAGTGGGGGAAGCCCGTCCCCGTCCTTCCTCGTGGAGGGGCTAAGTAAACGTTAGCACCAGGGAGCCCGACCGTATCTGACAGTAGAGGTCAGCTCTGAAAATGGCTGCAAAGCACTTGCCAAAGGGGACGTCTGGGGTTCAGGTCCCAAGACGTCCCGGGTTGGGACTTACCGAGGACTGTCAGCCTATCTGCTCATCCCATCTGGGGATGCAGTCGACCGAGAGCCGAGCCACGGACCGAAGGGAAGGCTGGGGACTGGGGCGCGTGAGGGTGGGCCCCGTGGCTGCCGCAGGAAGGGTAGGAGGCAAGGCTGGCCGTCCGCAGTGGCTGGGCTGGGGCACTCCGGAGCTGCGCCGTTGGCACCACACAGGTTCTTGTCGGACTCAGACTGCTAGAGGTCTTTTTTTAACTGAGCTTATAAATAGCAGATTACGAGTAAGGTCTTATGAAGAAAAATGCATTCTTTTTAAAATTCTATTTCATTTGCCGTGTGAGAGGACGGGGTGGGGGCCAGCGTGCCCTGTGGGGTCCCGACACCACGGTCTGCCCTCGGCAGCCCAGGCTGCAGGTCCGCCCTTGCCGGCCCAGGCCTCAGGTCCGCCCTTGCCCGTGTGCTCAGGAGGGTCTCGGTGCAAGCTTGGGGCTCCGTGTGGCGGCCTCACAGAGCAACCGTCGGGCCTGAAAGACGCGTTTGTGAGCAGGGGTACCTCCGTCAGGCTGACTGGGAGTCAGCGTGTGCCCCAGTGCCCACCAGGATGGAGACGCAGAGGGGCAGGGTGCCCACGCCCCGGGAGGTGCCTGCTCCCTCCCTGTCCTCTGGCGATTGAGAAAAGGAAAGTTACTGCGTGGCTCCCTGAGGTCACCGTGGGCACTGAGACCTTGGAACTCAAACAGCCGCGCAGGGCGCCCAGGCCGAGGCCCGCCTCCTGGCAGTCATGCTTGGTGGCTGCCGGCAGGTCCCTGTGACCGGCTGCCCTCCGGCCGTGCAGAGGGGCATTGTGAGCTGAAGGTGCCCCTCCACGACTCCCTGGTTCCCCAGGTTTTGCCCCAGAGGACCCGATGTTCCCAGAGCAGGGCAGTCTGACAGCCCCGGGTGGCCTCTGGCCTGGGGCTGCCAGCGTCCCCTGACTGCGCGGTCCCTTCGCAGAGAACGCTGCTTCCCCGGCCGTCTGAGAGCCAGCTCCACAGCGTCTGCCCCTTCTCCGTCCTGTCGAACTCCGCCATCACTGGTAAGGGTTGGGGCTGCTGGGTGCTCGCCTCGTTGCCTCGCCTGAGTGCAGCCTCGCCTTGGGGTGGCAGGTGGCCATGCCGTGGCTCTGAGTGGTGTCCTTCGTCCGCCACTGTGTGCTCTGTGCCAGGCCCCAGACACGACAGCGGGGCACAGACCTGGTGGCCACCTCCTGCTTCCAGGCGTCGCCCACAGTGGGTGTGCTCTGGGGGTGCATGGCCCATGTTTGGGGTCTGTAGACCCAGTGGGGCCCTGGCCGTGGAATGAGTCGCACACAGTGGAGTGTTTGTGAGACCCACACTGGGCAGTCTTTCTCACCGGTCTTGGTGATGTGAACGCGGTGCCTTACCGCAAGGCCAGACGGCTCTCTCCTGCCCTCTTTGGGACGCCGGGAAGCCCGCAGTACCAGCCACGTGGCAGGGCAGTCAGTCCCCCATGGGCTCTGACCGGTTCAGGATCCGTGGCTCCTCTTGGGGGTTTTCGCCCTCAGAGGGCTATGCGTGTGGAGGACAGTGGCGAGCAGCTCCTGGGAGACCTGGACATGGCCGGCGACAAGCACCAGAGCCCCTCCGTGTCCGGAGCAAGGCCCAGGCCAGCGCGGGTCCAGAGGCCCAGAGGCGGCCCCTGCAGCCTGGTGTGCAGTGCGCGGGGCAGCGGGGCACTGACACGTCTGCTGCTGTCCTCGCCCCTGCAGGGAGAGGCTCTCTCCGACCCATCCAGTCTTCTCTGACCAAAGCAGCTTTGTCCCGGCCGATCGTGCCTAAGGTCCTTCCAGCGCAGGCTCCGAGCCACCTGGCCAGTAAGTCTGCTAGCGTGGTGCTAGCCACCATGTGTGGTTTCCAGGTGACGTCCTTGTCGCAGCGCCTCTCCAGATGCAGCGTCTCGTTGCCCTTCAGAGAGCATGTCAAAGCCTCCGCTCACGCCCTGACGTGAGGCCCGAGGGGAAGCCACTGGCCGTGCCCTCGGACAGACAGCGGGTTGTCGTGGAGTGCAGCGGAGCGGGGTTGACGTTGCCCACTTTTCTCCTGCTAGGCGCCATCGACCTGGCAGCTAAAAGTGCCGGCATCATCCCAGGGAGCCCCCTCCCTGCCTTGGACCCCGAGGGCCTGCCTGGCAACTCTCCACTGCCTTCCGACGAGGTGGCAGCCGCCTCGGGTCAGGACTCCACCGAAACCCACATGGAGGGAGACCCCGTCCCCGCTGTGGGGGTGAGTGTTTAGAGGCCGTCTCTACCTCCCCCTACCCGGAGCAGGAGCCAAGGCCACCAAGCTGAGACTGTCCTAGGCTCTAGGCCTGCCGGGCTGCGGGAGAGCCACCAGCAGGGAGGCTGAGGCACATGTGGGTGTCCCGTGGCACCATGGAAGAGCTGTCCAGGCTGTGCAGGAGCCAGAACTGGGCCACGTTGGCCAGGCCCTGCCGGCCCTCCCCAGCATCTCCTCCCTTTGGGTAAGGACAGGGTAGCCCTATGCAGTGCTCCCTGGGGGTCCCAGGGAGCATGCACAGCCTGCTTGAGAGCCGCCCAGAAGGGCAGGGTGGCCCAGTGGGACTCCAGAGAGCTCGGGTCCGCACGCCCTTGAAGGACAGGGTCCCCTCCGGAAGGGCTCACAGCAAGCAGCGTTCCCACCCGTCAGCCGCCTGCTGGCTGTCAGAATGCCAGGGCGGCCATAGCTCTGCTCAGAACCAAGTGCAGGTGCACCCTGGCACGCCCGGTGCCACACACTCACCAACTCACCGCCCTTGCAGGGTGCCAGCGAGCGGAGCAGGAGCCAAGGCCACCAAGCTGAGACTGTCCTAGGCTCTAGGCCTGCCGGGCTGCGGGAGAGCCACCAGCAGGGAGGCTGAGGCACATGTGGGTGTCCCGTGGCACCATGGAAGAGCTGTCCAGGCTGTGCAGGAGCCAGAACTGGGCCACGTTGGCCAGGCCCTGCCGGCCCTCCCCAGCATCTCCTCCCTTTGGGTAAGGACAGGGTAGCCCTATGCAGTGCTCCCTGGGGGTCCCAGGGAGCATGCACAGCCTGCTTGAGAGCCGCCCAGAAGGGCAGGGTGGCCCAGTGGGACTCCAGAGAGCTCGGGTCCGCACGCCCTTGAAGGACAGGGTCCCCTCCGGAAGGGCTCACAGCAAGCAGCGTTCCCACCCGTCAGCCGCCTGCTGGCTGTCAGAATGCCAGGGCGGCCATAGCTCTGCTCAGAACCAAGTGCAGGTGCACCCTGGCACGCCCGGTGCCACACACTCACCAACTCACCGCCCTTGCAGGGTGCCAGCGAGCCATTCGCCAGCCTTTCCGTGGGGCCTGCGCGGGAGCCTGTGCCCGACAACCTCCAGGTAGTGTCACTGGCCACACCCTGCACCCGCTGTGGTCCTGCCGTGGGCCCACTCCCCTCACCGCGAGCCCACCCTGCGTGACAGCACCTCCCGCTCTAGACGACCTGCGGTCCCTGCGCAGCGGCCAGCTTAGCGGGTAGCTCCTGTCAGCCACGCTCCCTGTACGTGGGCATTTGCCCCCGAGGCAGCTGCAGAGCGGGAGGCCACCCCAGCCATTTCTGGCAGTTTCAGGAAAGGCCCATCCTGAGAGAGTCCTTCACCTGGAAGGACGGGGTCACTGCTGCCTCTCATCGCGGCCACCAGGCTGGAAGGCTCTGCTCGACGGTCCATCACGGTCCTGTCTCCAGCAGGTCCCCTCCGTTCTCGCTGTCCCTGAGCTGCCCAAGACCCCACTCCAGAACGGCACGCCTGCCCCTCCGACCCCACCCGAGGGCTCCCGCCCGCGCCTGTCCCCGCCCAACGTCTCTGCCCTGCTGGACCTCTCCCTGCCCGGCCCTCCCGAGGACGTGCTCTCGCAGGGCGAGCCCGCCACGCAGATCAGCGACTCCATCATCGAGCTCGCCATCAGCTCCGGCCACTACGGTACGGCCGGTGACCCTCACGCGCTCCGTGGGCCGGGGTCCTGCCCGTCAGGCTCTTCCCCTCATCCTTCGGTGCTCGCCCAGCCTGCGGCCTCCTGGGAACTGGACAGCACGCCTGCAGGCACCCTTGGCTGGGCAGCGTGGTGCCCGGAGCAGGGGCCCTGCGGCCGGCAGTGCCTACAGGCGTGCTCCTGAGGGAGGAGGCGGGCCGGCTACAGCTCGTGTCCGGCTACGGCTCGTGTCCGACCCCGCCAGACTCGGCCTCACCGCTTGCCAGGACACTGTTCCTGGGGCCGAGCGTGGCTGTCACTGGCATGGTTCAGCCTGGGGTTAGAGAAGGTCTGAGTGGCCCGGGCTGGTCTTGACCTGCCCGAACCTTCCTCCGTAGTGAGGTGGAACTGCCGCGCCCTCCCGCGGCCATCGCAAGCACCACCCAGAGGCTCTGCGTGGACCATGGCCCTCTGCGGATTGGGGCCCGTCCTGGCGTGGGCCCGGCCGTGCCTCACCACGTGGACCCTCTGCCATCCCAGTGGCCGACTGGGACAGGTGCTGTGAACCCCACCTGGTGTCTCTGACCCTGAGTTTTGACCGGCAGGTGAAGGAGTCCCTCTCTCGCCAGCCAAGCTGAACGGCAGTGACAGCTCTAAGAGCCTGCCCTCCCCATCGGACAGCCCCCAGCCACACTGGATTGCCTCCCCCACCCATGACCCCCAGTGGTACCCCAGCGACTCCACAGACTCCTCGCTCAGCAGCTTGTTCGGTGAGCCCCGGCTAGGGTCAGTCTGGGAGCCCTCGGAGTCTCGGTGCTCAGAGTGGGGCTCTTGCTGCCCTGTCGGTGGGTTTGTTTTTCCCGAGGCAGTATCTGTGGCTCAGCTCAGATGTGGGCAAGCACAGAGGCTTTCAGGGTGTGGTTCATGGAACCTGCTCGATGGGGTCATAGAACATGCCAGATGCCCAGTGGTTCCTTGTGAGCCTGGCCCCTGAGAGTTTTCTGCAGGACTTAGCCGAGGACAGGCACACACTTGTTCCTGTGGTCCCTCGCAGAGATACTGTGACATGGCTGTCCGCGTCCTGGGCCCGTCTGACATGGATCACAGGCTTCCGGGCTGTGTCCGTCCTCCCAAAGGGCAGCTCTTCGTGTGGTGGGGAGGGGTGTCAGGGAAGGCAGACCCAGCTCCCGGGGCTTCTAGAGAGCAGTGAAGGCGTGGGGCGGCCCTGCACCGGGGGGCCCAGAGCAGGGCGCGAACACAGTCACCTGGCCCCAGGACGCTGCTGGGTCTCTGTGGGCTGGGCAGACTTGGGCAGGGTCACGAGGTGCACAAAGTTGGAAACGCCCCTGCTTCCCTTGGGGTCACGGGGAAACAGCGAGCACACAGTGGGACTCCCGGGCGTGAGAGGACTGGCGTGTGCCACAGACTGGCTCGCAGCAAAGCCAGCAGCACAACCCCAGCCGCAGCTCCACGCAGGCGTGCAGGGACGCCTGGAGATCTGGGCAAGGCCAGGTCTCAGGCAGGCTCTTTTTCTCTGGCCTTTCTGCAGCGAGCTTCATCTCCCCAGAGAAGAGCCGGAAGACGCTGCCAACGCCCGCTGGGGCTCCCAGCGGCACCTCTCTGCTGGGCCCCAGCTTGCTGGATGGGAACTCACGGGACTCCTTTGTGTCCAGGTCCCTGGCCGATGTCGCGGAGGTAAGCACACGGCCTCCCCCTCAGTCTACCCACTCAGGCCATGCACCAAGGAGCCAGAGCACCCCTCAGGCCTGGGGTCCATCAGGGACTGCACGCTGCGGGGGAGACACCAGGAGCCTTCTGGAGCACAGAGGTCTGGTGGCCCAGGTGGCAGACATGCAGCCGGCCCTGAAGGCATCAGAGTGGGTCTGGGTCTCACGGGGCCTTGGGCTGCCTCAGTGGAGGAATGAGCAGGTGCACGTCGGGCACAGCCTTGGAGCGCTTTTGCATGCGGCACGTGTGTGGCCCTGGCCGTGGCATGGCTGCAGTAAGAGTGGCAACGCCAACTCTGCCACCCCGGCAGCAGCGGAGGCGGCCCAGCACAGGGGCTGTTTTCTCTCTCTTGTCCCCTGGAGCCACCCAGGCACCTGGTACGACTGAGCGGCCTCTGGGCACGTCAGGCTGCAGAGTGAGCTGGGCATGGAACAGGAGCCCGGACTGCAGCACAGGGACAGGGCAGCAGGAGCTGAAGGGGCCAGCCGGGAGAGACTCCTCCAGCTGGGCTGCCCTTCGGATGGGCCCTGCCACGCCGCGGGGTCAGTAGGTGTCACTTGAGGCAGGTAGCCAGGTGCTGGAGGGAGCCCTGACCAAGCCCAGGTCGGACAGCTCGGACCCTCAGCCTCTCAGTATCTGGCTGCAAGTTGTGGATTGTGAGAGGATGGACTACCGGCAAGGCATTGGCCCCTGAGCCACACGGCTGGCCGTGCACGGATGCAGGCTGGATGGCGTTCCCCAGCACAGCGTCACAGGGTGCACCTCGTGGCGCTGACGTCCACAGCACTAGCTCTGCTCCTTCCCGTGTCTGTGTGGTGCTGCCGGCCCCCGCTCCCGCAGACGGGCACTGCATGCGTACACGGAGCCGCCACGCCAGGACCGCACATCAGAGGACGGACCACGATCGCAGGCCCCGAGTCAGGCCTGCCCTGCAACGAGATCCCTGGTGACATGTTGCGCGTGCAGCGGGCACACCCGTCAGTCGTGAGTGACTGAAAAGGTTTCCCTGCACAAGAGCGAGTCGCGCTGAGCAGAGGGACTCCTGAGGCCAGCCCCTCGGCCTGGGGCACAGCAGCCCTTGCCCCTGTGCGCGCAGTGTGTGATGCAGTGCGGCCAAGGCAATGGGCGAGGGCCGCGGGAGGCAGAGCCAGGCGGACCCAGCAACAGACTTGGAGGCCGGTCGCCGTCTGGTATTTCTGAAAACGAACTTGAGGTTGTTGGACATTTTCCGAGACAGCTCGGGGCTCGGCTCCTGCTGTGGCCCCCAGCTTCCTCCAGGGCTCCCTGCTGCAGACAGCGGCGAAGGAGCCGCACCTGTCGGGGATGGAGACCTGCTGGTGCTGCTGCTGACTGGCCGCGCTCCCTACCCGTTCACGTGACTTTCCACACTCCCGCTGCATCTCGCCTCCTTGGAGTGCACCTCTGACCGCCGCCGGCAGGCTCTGCCCCGGCTCTGCCGTCCTCGCGAGCTGACTGCGCTCGAGCTCCGTGCTGTACTGCCTGCCTCTGTTAATGGCCGTCTTCCCCACGGACGTCTCCCTGGGGGACCACACCCTAGTCCCCCCAGTGTCCAGGCCCACGTGGGCTGTTCGTGCACAGTTGAGCGCGAGCCTGTGCACTGGACAGACACGCTGAGATTCTGCCCAGGGCCCCGGGCCCGTGTTGGCGGCTCCGTCCCAGCGGGGGCGTCACCAGGAGCGCCACCTTGCTGGCGTGGCCGGCCAGCACCGGCTGACACTGTCCCCCCGTCCCGCAGGTCGTGGACTCGCAGCTGGTGTGCATGATGAACGAGAGCAGCATCGACTACATCTCGCGGTTCAACGACCTGGCCCAGGAGCTGGCCCTCGCCGAGCCTGGCCGCCGAGAGGTCCTGTTTGACGGCGGCGGAGGCGGCCCTTCCGTTGGAGACCTGTCCCAGTGACCGCGCTCACGGCAGGGGCCGAGGGGCCTTCTGAGGCCAGGAGTCTCGTCTGTGGTGGGGAAGGCCTCCTTGAGAGAACAGAGCAGGAGCGGGACCCCGAAGACAGCCCGAGCAGAGGGCCGCGCCCGGGAGCGCGCTGCGTGGGATGGCGTCGGGTCCTGCTGAGCGAGGGTGGTCCGGCTTGGGAGAAGAGGCGCCCTCAGAAAGGGTGGACGTGGAGCAGTTCCCCGCCAGTCCTACGGCCATTTTGGGGGCTGCGTGCAAAGCCTCCTGCTCCACCCTGACTGCCACGCTGGACCTCCAGTGGAGGGGGCGTGCGTGCCTTGCCGTGGTCGTCACAGTCAGTGAAGCCTTGGCCTCCTTCTGTGGGAGGTTCCAGGGCATCCTGCTTTTGGCCAGACCTGTGCCCACCTGGGTCACTCTGAGTGACCCAGGGGAGGACAGGTACGAGGCCCCTGCCTAATCGTGTCTGCACCTTGAGACAGCGGACACTTCAGAGGACACTACTCGCTGGGCACCAGAAGGGCAGGCCCAGGGCAGATGGTGCCCCCGCCCCGGAGTGCTGGACATCTAGCTCTTGCCATCGGAGGTCTTCCCTGCCTCCCTCGCCAGGAGACTTGTGTCCTGGGCAGGGTGTGGACTGTGGTTTTGATCCTGCTCGGGTCTCGTGTCTGCGGTGAGGGGTGCGGTGGGGCAGGCGGGGCCTGTGGCCATCCGTGTTTCCTCTGGGGCGTCTCGGACAGCACTCCTCTCTGCCAGGCATAGCCCCACGCTAGCGTGGTCAGGGTGAGGCTGCTCGTCTGCTCTGGGGTTCGCCATGTGCCGCTGTGTGGCGTCGGAGGCTCCCTGCCGTTACAGGGAACGTCCCCGACTCTGCCTGGCACAGTGTGAGTGCAGAGCACGCCCAGTGCAGGCCTGTGTTCCTCAAGCACATTTGCCCCGTCGCCTGCTGCTTCTCTTCCCGTCCAGGGAGCCCAGGCTGGGCTCAGAGTCCCAAGTGTGGTCAGAGCTCACCGAGCCCGGACCTATGGGCAGGATCCCTCTCGAGCCCCCCAGGTGCCCGTTGTTACCGCGGGGGGAGCCAGCAGGGGCTTCTCTGCCTCCTCGGGCCTGCAGTCCGTGTGTACTCGTCACCATCCAGCCCCCAGTGCGGCCACAGGTTGCCCGTGCCATGCCACTGTCTCGTCTCTTCCCTCGACCTGGCAGCCGGAATAGATGGGTCTTTCTAACCCACCCGAGCGGGGAGCGGCAGCCCTTAGGGCCAGCTCCAGCCCGCTCCACCGGCTTTTCCGTCCACAGCACGGAGAGAGGAGGAAAGGCCTCGGCACTCATGAGCAGGGCTCTGAGCCTGTAGTCCTCCCAGCCGGCCGCGGCCAGCGGCGGGATGGAGAGGACGTGGGCTTCCGGGCAGCAGCATCCCTCCACCCTGGCTGTCGTAAGCCTGTCCCTGGGAGATTGCTCTCCTCGCCCCTCCTCTCCGAGTTGTGTACCCGTGACAGTGTGGGCAGTACGCGCTCGGGAGAGTCAGGCGCCCTCAACAGGGACTCGCGATTCCTTTTCCCCAGCTTCTCAGGGTCATGGCACCCACACGCACGCCCCACACGTTTTCGGGCTGCCTTTGGGGACCCACCCCTCCGTCAACCATACGACTTTCAGTGCCGCCTCCCGGCGTGACTGCCTGTGCCAGGCCAGCTGACCCCCAGACTTGATGCCTGGTCTTGAGAAAACAGTCCCAAGCTCCAGAGGCCTGAGTGCGTGCCGCAGTGTGGGAGCCCTCGTGTCTGAGCTGGCTGGTGCAGTGTGCCCGCCCTGTCAGCTTCCTCGGATTAGCTTCTCCTGACCCTCGCCCCAGGTTTCTGACTGCCGGGACCAGAGAGGTTAGGACACCAAGCCACCCTCCCTCCCTCCCTCCCCTCCCCTAGGATGCCAGCCCACAGCACGGCACGATGCGGGACAGGCCTGGTGGCAGTGCTCTTCGTGCCAGGCGCAGCCAGGCTCCAAGTCCTGCCCATCAGGGGCCCCCAGTGCAGTGACAGCTACATGGGACAAGGCACCAGAAAGGAGGGTTGGCTCTCACGGGCTCTTCGTTCAGCAGCGTCTCCCACTTGGCTCTCTGGCATCGATGTTGGGGACAGGGACTACAGCCCTGTGGTAGGGAGGAGAGCACCCTGGCCTGGCGCTCCCAGAAGGCTCCAGGAGTCCAGGGGGTTGTGACACTTCACCAGCCGGCAGGTGCACATCCTCTGCTCACTGTCTTTAGGGGAAAGGGTCTCACTTGTAGCCAAAACACAATAGCTGCATTTTCTCCCAGCCTAAATGAGTGTTTATGTGTAAAAATAGGCACCTCTTAAAGGCTGGGGTTTTCAAGAGACCGAAGCAGAGGCCTCTGCCTCCCTGCATTGTCTGGGCCTTTCCACCTGAAGATGTGAATCTTAGTACCAACCTGCGCTTCCCTTGTACATTGAGCCTTCTGTGCTAGAGATGAGTCCGTAGGAAAGCCCTTCCCTGGTCCTTCCAGTGTCGTCTGCGTCCCTTCTTGCTGGTGCATCTTACCTAAAACAGACCAAGCAAGGAAGTCGGTGTTGGGCTCAGGCCTGGTGAATTTGCAGTCCGTCCAGTAGAAGACAGCGGGGTGCATGGAGGTTGTTCTCACCCTGTGTCTCAGAGGTGGAGAGCACTTGTTCAGGGATGGGGGTCTTTGGGGGATTTTCTTCAGTTACTCTTGCTATCCTGCACCTCCAAGACCTTGTTAGCAGGCCGGTTCTGAGGCTTTCGTGGCCTGCTGGCGGGCTTAGGCCTCATAGCTTAACTAGATCACTGCGTGAGAGCAGGCTTGTTCTGCAGAGAGGCAGCATGGGACACCAGACATTGGGATCCAGCAGGTGCATTCAGTGAGGAAATGCAGCAGTTCGTCTTCAGGAAAAAAAAAAAAGAAACCCACAGCAGACTTTACCCGGTGTCAGAGCTGGTGGGATCCAGGAAACGCGGTCAGGTGAAGCGGGTGGGTGTTGCAGACAGCACCGGCTCGGCCAGCACAGCTGACTGCAGGCTCGGCAGCAAACCTGGCTGCGGGCACCTTTGCTAATCTTTAAGCCATATCATCTGAGGTTTTCGGCTCGTCTGAGAGGTGAACTTGTTTTATAGATTATAAATATACAGATACAGTGTATGTATAAAGCAGAATGCCTGTCCTTCCTGGTTATTTTTTGTACCATATTGTAAATTATATTATTTATTCTTTACCAACTTTGGGAATAAAAAGGTGTTTTGGTTATTTAATATAATAAACAAAAGCTGTTAAACTTCTGTTTAAATTTCTAGTTCCACTTGTACATGTTTTTATTGTGCATAAATACATACTAATACTTGATCTAAGGAAGTCGTCCGAGCCTGTTTCCAACGACAGCGCGTCCCAGGCGAGCAAGTCCCACCTTCCCAGGGCGCCTCCCCCTGCGGCTCAGCGTCCAATGCCCGCGCCCGCGGCGGTGCGCGGCTTCT